GCCACGACATTCTTTGCCTTTTAATAATACATATCCGTTATATTAGTTGAGTTTATGAACAATCACTAATTCATGGTTTGATCTGGTATTGTATATATATTTTTTTTTATTTATACTAGTTGAGTTTTTATAACACTGAAGTTACCAGACGTCTAAAAATTTTTGATTTTTTTTATTAATTAAATTACAACTAAGAAGATATTTATAAAAAAATTCACTTATAGTTTTTCAAGTTTTTTACATGTGAAATTTTTTCAATAAATAATTTCTAAAAATTTAAAAATGTCCGCCAACTTTATTTTAATTAGTTTTTAGTTATGGTATTTTTCTTTTTAGATTCCAAGGGCAAGGTTATCGCGATGACTTATTTTTTCACTGAATGAATAATTGTATATTATATTCGAACGAAATAGGTATATTCAATGCAAATATTCACGACGAGATGGTGTTGGTACATTCTACATACGTGAAAATTAGGATGGATTGAAGTGACAAGGTTTGCGCGCGCGCGGCACGTGACCGGTCTATTCCCATGTTAGCCTCGTGGTCGGAAACGTGGTTTTCATTTCCAATTTTTTTTTTTTTAAGACAGTATTCCATTCATTTCTATTTAATTCATGTATTCAATATATGAAAATATACATATATCTTGTGATGTAATATATATTCATACCTATCGTACTTATTGTTTTTACTTTAAAAATAGTCAAAATGGCTGCTCTTACGTCATGGTAATGATACCGCAACTACCGGATGTCTGATGATTTTTTATATAAGGTCAAAACTCCAATAGTCGATCACTTTCAATAATTTTTATTTTAATTTCAGAATTTTTTAATTGCGTAAAAATCAACTGTTATTTACATAATTTTAAACTAAAAAAAAAATCACTGAATTAGGTAGCGGATAATTTATTTACACAAAAATTATTCTTGGCTCCAAAGTAAGTTTTCGTGATGAAAAAATTCTTCAGCCAAAACTATTTCAGTCTTTAGAAATTTTCTGAGTTCAATAATAATCCATTAAAAAAAAAAAAAAAAAAAAAATATTGAATGTCCTAAAAATGGCTTGTAAATAATTTTTTTTAATCTATAGATAAATCACAGTTGAAATTTCTAATCATTTGCCTTATTTTATACATATCTATACATTTTAAAAAATCTTCCATTTGTACGAAAAAAACAATTAGTTCAAAATTTATTACCACTTTAAAAAACCATTTTATATCATTAATTTCTAATAAAGGTATAATATTTTGGTTTGAATCATTCAAATAATTTATAATTGGACTATTTCTACATCAAAATAATAAGGAGTTAGACAAATTGCTAATTAAACCGTCGATATATATATTTTTTTCGTAAATTCAATCAATAGAAAATAAAAAGGCAGGATGTCAGTTAATCTGATCGGATATTAATCTCTGATCGGATATGAGGCTGTTACATTACCTTATATAACAATCGGAGTAATAAGAAAAATTGCACTTACAGAACTCTTAAAAATCTTTATTGTAAGTTGTAAAAAATATTTTTTTTATTTAAAGTTAACTACGTCTAAAAATACAAACACTGAAGGAAATGTTTGCTATTTTTAGTATCGGTATTTATTACTTATATTTACTAAATTCTGGAATGTAAATTATTTCATAGGAATAAAAAAAAAATTTTTCCCAAAATATTTCAAATTTCCGAGTAAAGTAATGTGTCATTTACTTATACTGTAAAAAATGACTTCATACATTGTAATACTTTATCTGTTTACAAGTAACGCTGTCTCACTTGAATTTACAGGAAAACAATTTATCAGTACTGATATTTTACGTAAGAGTAAGAAGAGCTAAAATAAAATAATGAGCTGTGATCGAAAGAATTTGAGTTCGAGTTGAATTTAAATAAAAATAATTGAAAAAGTTTAGTTGAATAATTCAAGAAGAAATGGTAACTTGTAAAATGAAAACAAGTATTAAATTTCTAAGAACATGGATGAGTGACGCCAATGCTATTTATCCTTATCATGTGCCTTATCGCAACATAGGAAAACCGTTGTTGGCAATATTTGCTGACGGGAACCAAGTCGATAGTCTTCTTGTATATAATATACATAGTTTGCAATGGTACATGTAGTGCCAATAACGTTTACGTTTAGTCTTTGTGGTATAGCAACGATCAAAACCAAGACAAGATTGTAAGGAAAAAAAATAAATCTTATTTTATTTAACTTCTTCTTTTATTGGCTGTAAGAATTCGAGGGAATCTTATCTTACAAGTTTACTTCCTTGTGAATGATTTCAAGTTAACTCTCGAATTATTCTATTGTACTCAAATATTCAACCTTTTGAGAGAGATTCCTTTCAGCTTGAAAAAAAAAAAAATTAAACATCAAATCGAGTAAAATAAATATTATTTTCAGTAAAACAAATTGGTTTATTATAAATGATAAACAAAAGTGTAATTTTTAAACAACGGATTTGGAACGTGCCTAAAGCCCCTTATCATTCTCTCGTCCGGTGTAAAATTTAACGACAACTGGACGGAGAACTGATAAGGGCCCGAGGGTTACAAATGCATCACTGTAAATTTGATTATTATTCTCATCTCATTATTATATTTATTTTGTAACTTGTACATGTTTATGATAAATAAAATTAAAAATAAAATATATGTGTAATTTTTTTTTTTATTGTTATCGAGTTGTTTATTTTTAAGTAAGAAAAGGTTAATTGTAAAAAGTTGTTATTGTATCATTAATCTCATGACCTTTTCTGATCTTCGTTAATTCTAATCACTAAATATTATAGTCTACACAAAAATTTCGAGATTTTTAATTTATGACTAAAATATTTTTGGACTGCAGGAATTTTAAATTATAGAGAATGAAATGTTGAAGTGTAATTATCTAAAATTTAATATTTTATTTTGTATAATGCATTTTTGTAAAATTTTATTTTTACCAAGTCAATAGTGTTGTAATGAAATTTATAAAATGTTCATGATTATTAATGCATATGATACTTGAATTAAACAATTTTTTTTTGTCGTAATTTTAAGATTTGTCAAAAATTTATGTTAAATAATTAAGAATATTTCAAAAGATTTTTATACGATAATTTAAATAAATATAATTTCGGTCACTTGAAATAATTTAACACAATACAAAAACTGAATGCTGTTATGCTTTCTCTGTAATAAAATTTTTCATTACACATTAAATATGAAAATCCGTACATAAAACCGAATCTCAGGAAAATTACGACAAATACATATTTAACTTTTATTAACTTTAAAAAAATTTTATCTCTATCAGTAAATTACGACTACTTCAATCATGGTTGATATTAAAAAAAAAAAAAAATCCTGCAATCACATTTTATAAATTGGAAAAGTTAGCTTTTTATTTTACCTTCAAGGGAAAAATCGAATAATTTGCATGACATGTGAAATGAAATTTTCAATCCGTGCAATAGAGCCAGTAACTAACTTTTCGCTTATCAACGATATATATAGCAACAAATCATTTAATCAATAAAATTAGGTAATACTGTGTTTTAATATCAACTAAAAAATAATACTAATGATATTATTATTTAATTAGTTTAATTGATAAGGAGTATGTTAAAAGATGCAAAAGTTTTCACAAAAACTTTATAAAACTAATACTGCTAATGAAAATTTCTGAGTTAATTAATGTGTCATATATCAAAGGATCATGTATTATATTATTAGTTGTTTCTCTTATAATTTATTAAGATTAATTTCTGTAATAACATGAACCATATTTCTATTAAAAAAATAATTTTATTTAATTAAAAACTTAATAATAAATTAGAATTCACAATTATAAATAGTTGTATCTCTTTTGGAAATGTTATTTCATAACTATAGTCGTCTTTTAATAAAATATATAACAAACCCGCATACATATCTATTGAATCAATAAAGGAATTACTTAACTGAAATAAAATTTTTATCACTGACAATTTAACTTTTTTGTGTAAGAGTTTTTTTTTCTTTCGTCAAATTAAAAATTCATAAATCACAATTATGTAAAATTAAATAAATTTTTTAATATTTAATGTACTTTAAAAATGATATTCATTTTAATTTTCGTTTTTTCCTGAATAGAATTTCCAATTATAGTTTTCTTCAGAAGAATCTATAAATAAAAGATAAATTGAATAATTGAGTAATTCTAAATTATTTAACAAGATAATTTAGTTGATGGACATAATTAATGTCTATTTTAATTTACGAATTCTTGAAAATGAAACCATTAATTTTATCTCGCAATTTTAAGGTCAACTAGAAAGTAATAAAAGTTTAATAGATTTCTTTTTATATCACTACGTAAAAAATTTATAACTTTTTTATACCTTATAAATAATCACAATAATAAAAAATTTATTATCCTACTTTTATTGCCTTACTTTTTTTCAAAACTAAAATTATTCCAACAAGTTTAAATTTATCAACTAATTAACAATTTTTAAGTAAATAATTAATGATTTTTAAAGATTGAAGACTCAATTAAAACCTAGTCTAAAAGTTTTGTAATTTACTTGTTTTAAAATAGAGTTACTGTTAATGAGTATCATAATGGATGTATATCACTAGTGTTGTACATAACTTTATAGTTATTAAAAGTCTTGATTACTACAAAAAAAAAACTAGAATGTTAAAAGTATACTTTGCTTAACATAAAAAAAAAAACGCAGAAAACAAATGCTACTTTGTCGTATCAAAACATAAACATAATCGCCAGCGATTGACTATTCATAGACTTATTTAAACATAGATAATAATTATAATTATAAAAATAAATGTCTTATAATAAAAATTTTTTTTTTCAATGACTTGTAACTTAAAACTACTGACAATACCTCAAAATCAAAAGCTTGGAGAGTTTGTAGAGTGTCTTAAAGAGCACTATTACAAATAAAGCCTAATATGATTCCAACTTTATACTGAAGTTCTATTTTATAAAAACTTAACTTAATTAAACTACGTCCCAGTTGTTTTAGAGGCCACATTAATTAACTGTAGACTCTGGTCTACTTGAACTATTTGTCGCGAATTTATAATTTGAACTTTTCTTGGTGGTCCATTTTGGACAATTAAAATAGGTTTTTCGATACATTTTTCTTCTACTATTTGATTAAGGTTGACGAGCTTAAGGTTATTGCAAGGCCCGCAAATAACTTTAGCCACTTTAGCCACCATCGGCACCATTTTATCGTCAGTTTTTGGTAATATTATAGATTGTCTTTTTGTTTTTACTTTTTTATTTCCAGCATATATCACATCTTGGTGAGCACTCTCTCGTTTTATTCCCTGTGTTATATCAATGGGTAGAACAGCTGCTTTTTCTGGTAGCCTTACACTTGTTAAAGAAATAACTTCAGGGTCTATAATTATTTTGTCTGAAATTAAGAAATAAAAAAAAATTAATTATTAATAATGAAAAATTAAAAATGTGCATCACTAAGCGACGTTAAACAATGAATTATTTAAGGGGGATAGCCACTGTGAAATTAAAAAAAAAAAACAAAATTTTTTTTTTATTAAATCAAAGTTTATATATTCAAAAATATGTATCTAGAGTTATATGAAAATTTCGAATGTTCTTCGAGTTATAGTCATTTTTGTGACAGCGCGTCAAATGACCATTGCACGCGTGCCGCTCCGACAAAAACGCGTTTTTCTCGAAATTACATTTTTCGAACTGGTCTCATCTGTAATTTGCATAAATATGAACCGATTTGCAACTTTTTTTTCCGTATTCGTCTATTCAGTACACTGATAGAAGGATTTGTTTATAGTTAAAAATATTTGTTAATATTTAACAAATCATTTATTAGAAACCACTTTTTAGTCCTTAATAAATATTTCTTAGTGTTTAAAAAGATTTATTAATATTTAATAAATGAATATCAGATTTATTAAATACAAACAAATCATTTTAAATACTAAGAAATATTTGTTTAATACTAAAAAGTGGTCTCTAATAAATCGGCTGCCCAATTTCAAAACACAGTAGCTAACATTTTAAAATTTTTTCCAATTTTTCTTACTAAAAAAAAGTTTACCCGCCAAATTGATGAAAAATTTGATTTATGAATAGAAAATACTTGAATATTTATTTATTTATTTATTTATAAACGTTATAGTTAAAATATTTGTTAACTATTAACAAATATTTTTTAATACAAATAAATCCTTCTATCAATGTAGCTATAGTTGCACGTAGGGGATTTTGAAAATTTTGATTTTAAAGATTTTTTTAAAGCTGTTTGAATCCAAATAAGTGAGAAAAAAAAACGAAAAAAATTTTTAATATGTCGCCATTTTTTTTTAAATCCAAATTTTCAAAATCCCCTACGTGGAACGATAACCACATGCATGCAGATTACAATAATCCGTTTTTGAATTAGAGATGAGACCGTGGTGGGGGAAATTTTTTTAGTGCTCTACAAAAATCCTTATAATTTTGTAACAACATGATATTTTTTAATAAAAATTTAGGAGAATGATCTTTAATGTATACTGTATAAATTCCTTTATTTTCCCAGTCGAAAAAATTCCCAAAAATCACCTATTTTTTCGATCCTCATAGTGGCTATCCCCCTTAAAAAATTTTTTTCCATGATATTTATAACTTTACGTTTTTTTCAATTTAAAAATTTATTGGCAGTTTAATCTTAAATTGAGAATTGTTTGATAAAATATTAAATAATTACATCATATTCTACAAAAAAAAATTTTACGAATTTTACAAATAGACAATTTCTTTTTGTCAATATGTTATAATGTGTAAAAAGTAAATATTTATATATAATAAAGAGATGCAAACAGATATTCAACTGTCGCTAGATTTTAAAACTCGACTAACGCTAACTCTTCTCTTTAAATTTCCATAAAATAAAATAGTAAAAAAAATCTTACTTTTAGCCATTTCTTTGGTCACTGAGCAGTCTTTGTGAGCCAATAAAACAGTTTTTAAATTACTAATTTCCAGTCGTAAATTTTTAATTTCCAATTGAAGTTTAGCATTAACTTTATTACTTTCGTCTAATGACTGTTGAAGCTGATTAATCCACTGTTTTCTTTTTGCTCGTGCTCTCATCGAACTCGCGCGATTTCTCGCTTGAACATCTTGTTTTCTACGTAAATCCACAGTATTTTCATTTACAACTTCAACTTTTTTCTTTATTAAAAATTTCTTCTCCGTATTTTTATTTTGTACTTTATCATTTTTTATCACCTCTGAACTTGTTACATTACCGTTTTTTATGAGAGCTTCTCTAAGGCGCTGAAAGATGAAATTTATTAAATAAAAACAAAGTAACGATCTTGATTAAATAAGGAGTCATAAAAAAATACCTGCTTAGCATCTAGAAGAGGAGACGAACTTTTTTTAACAGATTTATCAAGTTCGTTATTTATCAATGGTAATGCTGTGTCTATCACTATTGTTTGTGGTTTAGTTGGTTGAGATTGAACACTAATCGCTGGGATTGTTGAATCAATCATAGGAGTTGCAGACAGTTGCATAAATTTTCCATCTTGAGTTTTCAAGAGAAATTGCACTTCTTCGCCATTTATCGATCTGTATGAAGATAACAACAGTCATTTTTATTTATTACATTATATTGTTTGTTACTTTTTATTATTATGCAAATATTTTATTATGCAAAGGTATAAAAAATTAATATTATTTATTGAAACTATCAGATTATTTTATACATATATTCATGAGTATTATTTCGTATTAAACAACAATATAAGTTAACAAATAGCGGAGATATCAGCTGATACACATCGTAGGTTGTCATCCGACTTAGCAGTCTGTGTGCAGTATGGAAGCCACAATTTTTATTTGAAATCAATGGCACAGAAAAGTTACTTTATTTATATGTGTATCTTCCATAAGAACCTCAATTCCAAAAAAAAAAAGTAAAAACTTGCATTTTTTAGAAGGCAGTAAAATTAAGTCGTGATTTTTTACCACTTTTTCATACATTATTTATTAAAAAAAAAATAGTTTAAATAAAAATATCGCTTTCAATTGAGGTTCATATTCAAGGCAATTGTATAAAGAAAATTCTAAGCCATATCGCAAGATGATTGGCTTAAAACTCTTTGAGCTAGACTGCACACAGTTTTCAAAAAACTCGTTTCGAGAAAAACGCGTTCGAAAAAAAAGTGACAGAAAAAGTTAATGTAAAATAGTATTAAAGTAATTACTACATCGCTTATAACTTTTGAACGAATAGGAATTTTTACTTGAAATTTAAAATCTATATTTTTGAATAGTTTTACAAGCGATTTATAAAAAAAAAAATTGAATTTTTTTAAGCTTGTACACGTATTTCCCTCCTTAAGACAAAGAATATCTTGTAAAAGAATCAATCAATTTCAACTATACTATAAATAGCAGTGACCAATAATTTTATCGATCGTTTTCGTTTCTGTAAGCTAATCAGATTAATTCAAAATCAATAGCTTTTTAAAGTTCTTATACTTATTTCTAAAGCGTTAAAGAAAAATTTATCAACTCCAAATAAACAATATATTTCTTACATAATACTTACAGACTTGTAGATGATGGTAGTTGGGGTGATTGTTGAATAATTGACGTGTCCGCTTCTTGTATAACAATTGTTTCAGATGTCTTTTTAACTTCTTTACAAACGACAATGTCTAAACTTTCACAATTCGGCTTTTCTACATTTATGTCTTTTGATTTACCTTGCAATGTTTCGTCTATTTCATTATCATCAGCTCGGTGCAGAACTATTTTATTTGATGAGTTGTCTTCTATGTGTGGAAACACATGTGGTGTATGCAACGTATCGTCATTTATTATTATCTAAAAGTAAGTATTATTTTAGTCAATCATTTTTTAATAAATTGATTATTTATAAAAAAAAAAAAGACGCGATTCGGCCACACCCGAAATGGAAGGTAGATTTCATAGAATGAATCATCATCTTGTCTCAATAACTTTCGGTTGACATGGAATTAAATTTATTTTAACATACATAAGTAGGTTGTATTACACATTGATAAAATAACTAATAATTGTCAAAAAGTTAATGTTATATACGTCAAATTAGAAGGAATTTTATAAGCTCTCACATAAATTTATCAAAAAAATCAGCTATCTTTTCACTGATAGAAGGATTTATTTGTATTAAATAATATTTGTTAATAATTAACAAATCATTTATTAGAAACCACTTTTTAGTATTAAATAAATATTTCTTAGTATTTAAAATGATTTGTTTGTACTTAATAAATCTGATATTCATTTATTAAATATTAATAAATTTTTTTAAATATTAAGAAATATTTGTTAAGGACTAAAAAATGTCTTCTAATAAATGATTTGTTAGATATTAACAAATATTTTTAACTACAAACAAATCTTTCTATCAGTGTTTGCTATTAAAATTTATATATAAATGAAGTCACCGAAAACGTGATTTTTACTATTTTTATCATTTTGAAGAGTTACTATTTCTGAACTAATCGAAGTATTTCGCTCATTTTAGGGCTCATGCAAGCTAATTGCCCTAGGAATCTATACACTAAATTTCTTTAGGATCTGTTGAGAATTCTCGACAAAATAACATTCATAAGTCAGTTGTACTACACATTGCCTGAAAATGGTTCAATAGAACTCTTAACTTTGATAAAATAACTAAAAATGGTCGAAAATGTCATTGTTATATACGTCAAATTGAAGGTAATTTTATGAGCTTTTATATGGATTTATCAAAGACTAGCCATCTCTTTTCAATCAAAAGTTATACATCAATGAAGTTACCGAAAACGTGATTTTCACTATTTTAATAATTTTGAAGAGCTGCCATTTCTAAACTTATTTATGGATTTCGCTCATCTTCGAACTCATTCAAGATTATTATCCAAAGAATATGTGTAACTAATTTCATCTAGATCCATCAAGAATTGTAGACACAATCGCGGCAACATTCCACGTTATATACATACATAAATAAATTTTTTAACTAACGTTATTTTTTAGCTTTACTCGACTAGTTAAGAGATATTAAGACAAAATTCTGAGTAAATTCCGACATGAAGACCAATGCAAAAGATTGATTTCTATGAAATCTACTTAAAAAAAAAAAAAAAAAAATAAGAAAGTACCTCAGATTCAGATAATGATCCAATTTTGCCTTCAACAGCTCGTCTAAAAGTTTCTTCAAAGGGATTAACATTTTGTAAATCTTGAAATAAACCAACTTCTTCGCAATTTCTGATAAATCGTGTAGGAGTTGGCGTTTGATCGGCTAAATATATAATCATTTAATAAAACTTGACAACATAAATAAAACTAATGAAATAGAAAAATTCAAATAAACTACATTGTCTTAAAAATAAAGAATTATGTAATAATAAAGTAAATATTAAGTTCTTACCTATAAATGAATTACTTTTACCACCTGTTCCAAAATTTAATATCATATCATGTTTTTTTTTATGAACTACCAAATGGTCTTCATTAACAAAACTCTGTAATAAAAACAAAATAATTTTCTTAAGTTATTTTTACATTTTTTAATGTATTTATTGTGAGAAAAAATTACTTTAGAGTATTGTTAACAATAATGAAAGATTAAAATGGAGCATGTAGTGTTTGTTGTAGGAGTGTATATAAGTATTATTAATTAACATATTGTTATTTTTTAATACAATAATTACCATATTACATCCTGGAGACGAACATGCGAAAGGCTTCTCTGTATCTGTCATTTTACAAAAAATATATTCAAATACATGTACAAAAATATTAATTCACCGAGCCAATGACAGAATATACATTTAATCGAATGTTAGTTGAATTTGGTTATTTATTATGTATACATCACAACTACATACATACAGTACAGTGAGTTTACAAGTAGATTAGAATTTAATCCAAACAGTGCCTCCATCTGACTGTTTTTTTCATAAAGAAGAGAAGCAAATAATCTTATATTTTAACGCTAGATGGCGAAAGTTTGGTCTTTTTAGTTTTAAAACAGTAAACCAGAGCTTGTAAGCTGAGAGTATCAAAAACTCACCTGAAGTATATTAATCAAAAATTTTGGAACGCACTTACTGAAAAAATCAATAATTTAAGTTCATCTTCTTTCATCACAGTTAAAGAAAATTATTTGAATATTTTATACTTTTTTAATACATATCAGTGAATAATAAAATAATAATAATGGAATCTTTACCATCAACTAGTTCTTGTGGACCTTCCTCAGTTCAAGAACCATCAACTAGTGCAAGTTCAACAGAAAATTCTCAGAAGAAACCCGGTAAACCAAACTACATACTGTGGAATACACTCTTTGGACACAGAAGAGCTGTATCCGCAGTAAAATTTAGTCCTGATGGAAAGTGGCTCGTTAGTTCATCTGCCGATAAAACCATGATAATTTGGGAAGCTTATACTGGAAGTTGTAAAAAAATAATTCAAGGACATTGCTTCGGAATTTCAGACGTAGCATGGTCTAGTGATAGTAAGCGATTAGTTTCTGCATCCGATGATAAAACTTTGAAAATGTGGAGACTCAGTACGTCTAAATGTTTAAAAACTTTTGAAGGTCATCTGCATGTCGTTTTTTGCTGTAATTTCAATCCTCAAGGTGACCGTATTGTTTCCGGCTCATTTGATACAACTGTCAAAATTTGGAATGTTAAAACAGGGAAGTGTATGAAAACATTACATGCTCACGCTGACCCTGTAACCGCTGTTGAATATAACGGAAATGGAAACTTCATTATATCTAGCAGCTATGATGGAGTATGCCGTTTATGGGATGCCGCAACTGGAAACAATTTACAAACTCTTGTTGACAGGGATGAAGATGATATTCAAATACCGATATCATTTGTTAAGTTTTCTCCTAATTCGAGATTTATTCTTGCCACAAACTTGAACAGTACTATTAAGTTGTGGGATTATGCCAGAATGACATCTCAGAAAACTTATACAGGTCATACTAATGAGAAATACTGCATATTCGCTAATATTTCAGTCACAGGCGAGAAGTTGATTGTTTCCGGGTCAGAAGATAAATTTGTTTACATTTGGAATTTACACACACAAGAAATTGTTCAAAAGCTTGAAGGACATACAGATGTGGTAATTTCTACATCATGTCACCCAATCCAAAATATTATTGCTTCAGCTGCTCTAGAATGTGATAAAACAATAAAATTATGGAGAAGTGATGTGTAGATTATTCAATTTAAAAAAATTATTTATGGTATAAATTTTTGTAATATGTCTTGTAAATATGTTTTTTTTTTTACTTTATTATTCGTGTGAAATGAAAAGATTAATTTTTATAATTTCAAGTTATACAAATAGAAAATTAACTAAAGTCAATTTTAATTCAATTGAAGTAATGTAAATAAATATCCAAAATTTCTCTTATTTAATGAAATTCGCAGAAAAGGGGATGAAAAAGAAAATTTTTATTATATCAACACATTCTTACTAAAGCTTAAAAATAATTTACCTTAAAAATAAAAAAATTAACAATGTTATTAAATTATTTATTAATTAATTTTAAAACACTCAATAAAATATATAAAGAAATTATTTTTAGAATGACAAACAGATGAAGTGTTCCTTCTTATAATAAAGTCAACATTTCAGACTAATAATCCAGTGGAATACATATTTAATTATCTGGACATGCTAGTGGATTATTGTACTGATAATTTTGTAAAAAAAAATTTCCTTGTGCACAATTTATTACTTTTGATATTATAAAAATATTTAACTATTTAATAAAAATCTTTTTAATACAGAGAAAATTATTTTTTTTATGATATTTCTACGAAGCGACCCAACTATTATTTGCTTTTCTGCGATTTGAGTTTAGGTATTTCATTAATTTTAGCTTGATACTAATGTACTCACGTTATGAATATTAATTTTTGCATCAATAGATTTTTTTTTATCTTGAAACAAATATATCGATACATTTCTGGTGATAGATTATATTAAAAATTATCAATTTAATATAAAATAATGTTTAAATAGCATATATATTACTTTATTCATTTATTTTTTTATGTTCATCAAATTCAGGAAATTCGAAATTATAGATACTGATAATAAAAAAAAATATGTCTTACAATTAAAAAAAATTTTTAATCTTTTAAAGTTTTAAGTGGATCAAATTATATTTACGTAACTGAACTAAAAAAAGTTTATAAATTACATTAAAACTGTAGAAAATTGAACAATCTAAAAAATAAATAACAATTTAGTAAATTTTCAATAGTGATATAAAAATTGTAATGATAGCGAATACTTAAATACAATTTAGAATATTATATTTAATGAATTGATTCAAAGTTGAGGTTGTTGACTTGGTAGAAAAATATTCGATTTAAGCATAATTCATTATTTGACTCTCGGGTTTGAATTAAGTATTAATCGACAATTTTTATAGTTTTGCTTGCATGTTTTATATGCAAAATAATATCATAAAAAAATTCCATTCAGGCTTATACTTTTTTGTTGATTTGTGATTAATTTATTGAGATCTGATTTTTGTAATATAAATTATTTTTAACTAATCAAACCGAATGACTGGAACACGCAATATCAAAAATTTAATGACACTAAAGCTAATTTAACATTTTTTTGAGTTAAACTTTCGTTATTTATTTAAAAAGTTATTCTTTAAATGAGAAAGATTTTTATTTTCTTTACTTTTATGGAAATATAGAATAATAAATTGAAAATGTTGTGTAACTTAATTTGACGATACTTGAAAAAAATTCCTTTATTTACCACATGTATGAAACACATTTTAAATTTTAATTCTTAATTTTAAATAAACGTAAAATAAAATATGATTCATAAAAGTAGACGAATCAGCTTGAATGAGCAATGAATGTGAAATTCGAGTATTTTTCCGTTTTTATCCGTTATTAAAATATGTACGTGTCGGCGGATATCATTGACCTGAAGACACAAGTGTAATATATCAAAAGGTAAAAATAATTTTTACCCAACCCGTCCGTAATTTGCTGACACTTCCTCATTTTGTCATTGACTTATGCCAGGGCAAGAAAAATCGCTAATATTTCTATCATTATTACTCGAGACTCAATCGTGATAACAGCTTTTAAGACAGACTTTTTTTTCTTACTGTTTAACAAAATAAGTTATGAATATAAAAATACATTGATGTGAACGTTAGTCTTGAGTTTATTTATAAATTTCATTCATTTTCGTATAAATAAATAAATAGTTGGTTTAATAAAGTATTTCTATGAAAACTCGAGTAAGAATTTTTATTAACAAATTCAAAAAGTGAAAAAGTTCAAATTTAATCGATAACATTTTTACAATTTGGAATTTTAACGATAAGTGCAGTTAGTGAAAAAATAATTCACAAAAGAAGAAAAGGACACGATGGAAGGGTCGAAGAACATAAAATCAGAGAAATCTAATTTTGTGATCGATCCAAAGTTAAAAAATAAGAAAAACTTCAAAATCTGGAATATGTCTTTGTTTTCAATTCTCTGTATAGTATTAATATTATTATTTTTTATACTATCTGGTTACTCACTATATAATTCTTACGAAGGTAAGAAAATAATAAATTAAATGATAATTGCTTAGAAGTGGGTGTTTCAGTTATGAGCGGTCGAATCGTTTTGGACCTTTGAATGTTGAAAAAAATTAAATACTTATAGAAAGACATCAATATAATTCATCCAAATAAGTGTAGCAATTTTTGGTATTTTTTTTTTTCTTATTTTACATGCAAAAACCCAAAATTAGAGAAAATTTTTTTTTAATTTTAAGTTTATTTTTAGTGATTTTTACAATTTTTTTTTTTTTTAAGTCGAAAGAATAAGATTGAATTTTTTTTTCAATTTATTCCATTTTTTAATAAACTTGAAAGAAAATCCCATCACGATTTAATGGCCAGAAATAATTTGAACCTGATTTTTAAACAATAACTAAAAAAAATTAATTAAAAAAATTCCTTCAATTTATTTACAAATCTTGTAGGTGTAAGAATAAATCAGGGTGATTTAAACGAACTTAAAAAAGCTAGCGATATTCTGAAAGAGCTACAAGAAAAAACACGGCTGTATTTCCAACGCCCGATCTCCACATTCGACTATGAAAATGACTACTCGGATTCGTACGATACCGATCAAAACATTGAAATTAATTCCTATTCAATTGGCCGATTTAAGCGGGACGCAAGCAGAGTCTCAACACAACAGAAGCAAAACGTCGTCAAGGGAAAAAGAAATGAAAAACGTCAAGTTTTCAGAGGAAATGCTTTAACTGATTGCTTCCGACTTCGTGAAGAATGTTTTTACATGATAAATTCAATCAACTCTAATTTGAAAGCAGCCGAGATCGCTTTAGCCAACATCCAGAATGTGATCTGGCGAATCCAGCCTCTTGATGCAAATACAAGAAGTTTGCTGACGTGTCTTCAGTGTTCTCAGTATGGGCAGCAAAACACGATCCCAAATCCAACAAGTTTGTATTCTGCTGACTTGACCGCTCCGGAAAATTTGATTCCTGATAATTATAATAATAATAATTATTATTATTATATGCCAGCTTACTACACTAACCCAATCCCTAAAAATAATCCTGTTATCAACAACAATAATTATAAAAATCCTTACACCACTTCACAAGTTTATGGTAGACCGAATACTTTAAAAAAAAATATGTATTCCAATTATCAACCGAATGTTTACATCCCAACTCTTAATAACAATCCGATTCCTTACAATATTCCTTATTATTATAAAAATAATAATCCTAATTATCAAATTCAAAATCCTAGTACTCAAAATATTTATGTCGTTCCTACACCTACCAATGATCAAAATTTTAACTATAATCCTAACATCAAATTTAACAATAATTCATCAGTAAATTTTTCTCAAAAAAATACATCGTCAAGCCCAAGTGTTAACCAAACGATAATATCATCAAATACATCAATTACCAGCACGGAAAAACGAGTTACATTTTCAACTGTTAACGCAGAGCCAACCAGATTTACACTCCCTATTGAAGTCCCACGATTTGGAAAGTCCAAAGAAGAAATCGGTTCAGGTTCGAAAGTGAGAGACAGAATGACGACACGTGAAACTAAAAATAAGAACGCTATCAAGCATAATTACAGAGAAGTAGTGGGAATTACTGAAGATCCTGCGCTTTTGAAGACATTACAGCTTTCTTCATTGAAAGAAGAGACCAACCAAGGAATGCAATCACCCGAGTCAACTAGCTCATCATCAAAATCGGCGACAGCCAACAACTCTGTATCACCTTTCATGTGTTATTGGCCTTTAGCATGTTTCTTCAATCAAGCCTCAGGCCAACCGGTCCAGGCTCCTGAATCAACAGCTGCCAATCCTCTCCCGCCGGCTTCTCGTATTTTTCCATGGAATCCAGCCAATTTAGGTTCAACTTTCGGAAGTTTCAACCCGTTTATTCCATCAGAAATCTCTTGGCTTAATCCACGATTTTTCGGACCTAGTGGACCCGGAGGAAATCTTCAAGGTCGCAGTTCAGTTAATCAACCTGTCCTATGTTCTCATTTTCCCGCTCATATTTCACCCAATGATTTTCAAGAAAAATATGGTCATCGTGATTCTGGTAAGCAGGACAACAAGGAAACTGATCCAAGAATCGAGTTAAAAAATCTAGGTAATTGTTACTTTTTTAATTTAATTTTATTTTATAATTAATTGTCTCGACTTGCACAGTATATTTTTAGAAAAATCTAGACAGATTTGCTGTGAAAGTAATGAATTTTAATTTTATTACTTATAATAAAATATTTTTCATCTTTAGGGACCCTGGAATGCCCGGAGAACTACGTCAAATGTTATGGTGTAAAAAAATGTATTCTTCAAAAAAATTGGTGCGACGGAATTGTTGATTGCGAAGACTCCAGCGACGAGATCCATTGTACATGCAAAGACAGGATTGCTCCTAATAAACTCTGTGATGGTTTCTTTGATTGTCCACGGGGTGAAGACGAGCTTGGATGTTATGGTAATTTCATTTTAATAATTTCTTAATATTGGAGTCAATCCTAAATAAAATTTTTACAAAAAAATATATTTAGTAAGCAGCATAAAAATTTCAAGAAAAATAACTCTATGGACTTAGAAATAAATCAGTTTTTTTAGATCCTATTATGTCTAAAAAAACATAGTTTAAATTCAAAGAATTGATTTTCTAAATTTATTTTTTTACAGGATGTGGTAACGATTCATTTAGCTGCCTGGACTGGACTAAAAGAAATGTCCAAGGGAAATGTGTTCCCTTATCTCAACGATGTGACGGCGAAGAACAATGCCGCAATGGAAGAGATGAGAAAGACTGCTACATTTTAACAGAATCATACATCGATAATAATGATGTAAGTATTTATCTATTAAGTTTTCGTGATCCTTTTTCGTCACATAATTAATTTTTAAATCATTGATTAATTAATAGATATCAACAATTGGCCACTCTTCTGGATATCTCTTCAAGAACTGGTTTGGAAAATGGTACCCAGTTTGTACATTAACCGAGGCTTGGGCTGACAAGGCTTGTCGAAGTGAAATAGGATCACTGACAGGCAACCCGACAATTAAAATGGAGACAGCCCTACGCGAGTCCAGACTCGGCCCGTACATTTCAATGGCAGAGTCCGGAAATATTGAGCTGACACCTGAATGTAACGACCAAGCAGTTTTTGTTAAATGCCCGTCGATTCCTTGCGGGTCAGTGGTTGCTGGTTTATCTGACGAATTTTCACCTTATGAAGATTTTATGGTAGCTTCACCTAATACGGTGAATGCTACGACTGAATCTGCTGTGCCATTGACTACTGAAGCCTTTGAAGATCTGAATAATTTTGAAAGAATTTCTGGTGATGGTCGAGTGGTTGGAGGCCGTGCTAGTCACCCACATGCCTGGCCGTTTTTAGTTGCCATTTATCGAGACGGTTATTTTTATTGTGGAGGATCAATTATTAATGAACGCTGGATATTGACGGCCGCTCATTGCACAGAAAGGTACAAATTTATTAATAAAATAAAGGGAATAACAATTAATATTAAAAATTAAAAAACCATACAAATTCAAAACTATAGTATACTAAGTTGTTGTTGTTTTTTTTTTTTAAAGCTACAATGACCATTATTACCAAATATTTGCTGGTCTTTCAAGAC